GACAACATTACCTCCTTCACTTTTCATTTCGACTCCCAGGAGCTTTAATCCCACACAGGCATCAAGCAACCGTTCCATTCCGCTGGCGCTGGTGCCCAACCGTTCAGCAATGGCATCTGAAGACAGGGGCCCTTCTGACTCCAGCAATAGATCAAACACTCCCAATTCACAGGCAGTAAACATAATCTGAAAGCAAATGGCGGTGGATACAGTGGAGTAAGAAAAAGTGCAGATGCCCCCTGATGAGCAGCTCCTTAGGTGAAAATTTTTTACAAGAATTGTAAAAACCACCATTAAAGTGTTTTTCAACCATCAAAACGCTGCAGTTGCTTTTAGCACTGAGACCGTTGCTTAAGTTGCACTGCTTCTTTCATTTCTGTTCCCTGCTGAACTACCCATTAAATGATCACATATTAAGGCCAGGTATTGTGTATGCATTTTTTTTTTGCCTTTATAGGTTTAGAACAGACCCTTACAATACCACATTTTAAAGGCTCTGTGCTATGATTAAGGGACTGATGATGTGACATATTGTTTAAAAAAACAATAAAAGTCTCATGCATCAAAGCCAGAAACAATCCTAAAAGCTTTGGAGCCCTTAGATAGATCTAATAGCCTATCCCCAAATTGTAACAAATGTCTTTCTATCTAGCATGGAACGCATAATTCTAGATTGCATATTTTATTGTTGTCATAGAAAAAGTTCACGAAAATGCCAAATGTGGCAGTTCTAATCTCCTTCTTGCCATGATCCTTTGTAAACCTTCACAGAGTTCCCCCTCTCCCTCTCGGAGATAAGATAACACTATCCAGCAGAATCAAAATTATCTTCAGATTATCTTTCAAAAATATATTTTAAGAGTGCGAATTTGAAAAATGTTGGCCATCCACTGCGTCTCTGAGTGCTTAAAAAACTGTTATTGTTTGAACTACCCTATATTCTCTCCACAGTGGAAAGGAGACTCATTGGGCATTTAATTCCCCCCACACACACCCTCCACACACACCTATGAATGGTATTTCTTGTTTTGCTGTGTTGGATTTTGACAGAGCAGGAATATTAAATACTAATTGGAACACATGGTTTGTAAAAAAAATCTTCAAAGAGGGAAATGAAATCTCTGGGTTTCCACCTTGCCTTACTACCATTCTGTTTCTTGAAAGACAGTCATTAAACTAGATCTGTTCCCCCTCTCCCCCAACAGATATAATTTGCCAAAATATAACTAAGCCACTGTGTTCTCTTTTGCAGCACAAGGTAAGTACAGATATGCAAAATTCACTGCATTTGAAAATATTTTTGCAAAACTGTGTTATCTGGGTTTGGATTTTTCAAAATCAAAACCAAGGGTCATTTGGATCTGTGGTCTGTTTATCTGAAAAACCCAAAATGTAGAGGAATGTGGAGATATTCTATTAGCAAAACAGACTGGCACGATTGTGGGTGATTTTAATTTAGCAAAACATCATTTGGAAGACTTTATAATAATACAACTTCGTTCAGATCTGGGTTCCCTTTACCCAAAGCCCCTAAATTCCAGGAGTTGGATAAATTATCTCAGAGTTGGCCCATCCTTGAAGGTCTCTTACAGGGTTTTTTTCCTGCAAACTTTCATCATGTCTATTTCAAGTTAAAATCTGACAAATTACTAGGAGATTGAGATTAAAATTGGGACCCCTTGTATTGAGTCTGTTCCTTTCTCGAGATTTAAAATAACCATCTAAATTGAGTTTGGAAATTTCTACCTACCTAGTTTTAATATAATTTCCAGGCATTATTTGTAATTCTTACCTTTGAGACTAAAAACCCATTGTTGTATTGAAATAAGATCTGAGGATAGTCAAGGTCTTCTGTGGAGCTCATTTTCCTTCTGCGCACTGTGAGAGATCCTCTTGCCTTCATCATTTAAATAAGCCTCTTTTCCACTAGATACAGATCACAGTGGGTAGTTCACTTAACCTTATTAGTTGTGAGAAAGACGTTATTAAAAACACACACATATTGGTTGAAGAATTTGAATCAGCTAGTTACTTCTATTAGGTTTCTTGCTGTTCTTTGGCTCTCTGTCCATAAAGTACAGGCTGGAGAATTACTATGAATTTATGTATTTCATCAGCCAAAATGGCGTTTAAAAAGCTAATGAGAAATTATAGAAAGCAAAATAAAAATGTTTAGATGATAGTGTTTACAATGTCGAAAACCTGAACAGGGGATGTTACAGTTTATAAAGACATAATAAATCAGTTACATTAATTCAAGGTCTAATCACAACCATGGTACAACGACAAACTTTTATCCTAGTTCTATGCTATTCTGAGCAGTGATTTTGGCACCAGTGTGGAACTATAGGATCCTTAAATATAGATCCTTATTTATCTCCAAGCAAGTTTATCAGCCAGTGGAATTATGGAATTGCTTGTGTCAGTTCAACCATACAATTCTAAAGTAGAGTTTAAAAATTCGGGAAAATGAATTATCAAACAATCCCCAAACAGCTTGAAATTACCTTTTCCAGGTATATATAGCCAAGCTTTGCCACCTATACCAGCACAAGACTATCTCCCATTATACACAAAATACAATATGCAGGTGTCATTTTGAAACTATTTTAATTTTTCTGGAATTTCACCAGTATTGTAAGCCTTATTTTAAGTAAAGGTACAAGTGATGGGAAAATCTTTAGTTTACAAGCCAGTTCAAAGCTTCTTCCTTTTTGCTTTTTTTCTCTCTAAGAACTATCAATTCTCTTGATCATGAAAAAGATATGTGATTTCTAAGCTAAACTCTTTGAAACACTCAGGGTTTTTCATTGTTCACTTTTGCTGTAGATAAGCACAGTTTCCTATAACAAATAGTAGTAGCAGGCTTAGTTAATGTAATTAGTTTCTCCAGCCTCAGTACTCTCAACTACTTACTGATTTAACATAATTTCTAGACAAGACTAAACTTGTAAGTGAAATACAGCTCACAAAACATCATGCATTTTAGTCACTTGGGCCTTGTCTACACAGGGAAATTGACCAGCGTAGCTATTGCAGAATAAGCGTTTCCTCAATAGTGCCTTATGTGGAGAACTCTATTCCAAAATAAAAGTATACCCCAATTATCCAAAGGTTGTTGGAGACACTCGGCCTAAATTTAGGCCTAAATTATTACAAGCATTCTGGCCTACGTGTGGATGTACAGAATGTTATTATTTAAAATGCCATATTTTCTCTGTCTTCACTACATAGTGCCACTACAAACATGTTACATGCACTTACATTACCAGTGTACTGTATTCTCTGAGCACGTCTGCCATGAAACAGAGAAACCGTCCACCAGCATGGAAAGGGTTAAGGAGAGCCTTTGGGCCCAGCTAGCCCTGCCCCATTATACCTGCAGCCAGTGTCAGGCCCAGAGGAGAGAGAAAAAGAGAGAACCTGGCTCAGTTTGGGGCT